ATATATATATATATGGCCTAAACTGCCTGAGGTGACTGATGTTTTCCAAGCTAATGGCCACAGAGGCTGTCCCAGCTGCATTGCCACAGAGCTGGATGACTCTTAGAGGTGAGCTCTGCAAGTAGTTGGGCAGACAGAGTAGCCACAGAATCCAAATCAGGCAGCCAGGGCACCCCTCAGAGCTGTGCAAGTGGGTAGGTGAGCAGTTGTTAGTTACATTTTTGGGGACAGCAAAAACTCCCCCTTTCCCCACAGCTCTGGTAGCCAGCCAAAGGTCTGCCAGCTGGTGAAAGGGCTCTGCTGCTCAGTCACTTTTCAAGGCCCTTGCTGAAAAAGCAGTGCAATACATTTTCAAACATGCAAAGCCAAGTCTTTTTAAACCCTTTAAATATTATAATAGAACCAATTTTTCAAAGTACAGTTAGTGTAAGAGCATTTTAATATATGGGGCTGGACTTTCATAAGTTCGGGTTCTGCCAACAGATCACATAATGAAGATACTGTAAAATCTTATTGTATTTCTAATTAGAACTCAGGATATTGGGATTTCTTTTTTACTTTAAAAAAACAAAGCGGCTCCAAGAAGTTTTTCCCCAGACTCAGATTTCCACTCTCCAACGTTCTAGAAGTTAAAACACTGTTAGCTGCCCAACAGAAGCAGAAATGGATGCTGCTCTAATGAAAAGGAGCAAGCTGCAGCATTTGTGCTGTGCTGAATTAGCTCATTTCAGTTGATTTCTTTGATGTGCAAACATAAAACTATAGTAATTCATAAATTCATCACTTTAATATATGTATGTTCTCTGTTTTCCCCTCCCCTTCCATCCCACCATCAAATCCTCACAGACACCTCGACCTGCAAACAAATCTAAACTAAAACTTGTTATTAATAGTGATTTTACAAGTGCCTCAAATGTGTAGTATGTACAAAAACCTGATGATTATGTATAAAAACCTGATGATTTGGGCCTGGTGAGGCTGTGAATTATCACACCTGCAGTTTAGGGCCAAGAAGCACAGCCAGGCACAGGAGTGGCTGTGGAGAGCAGCTGGGGCCGGGGAGGAAATTTGCAACAATTTGGGTTAGGCCACATTTTGTCACGTTACCAAAAATAGTCAGTAAATAAATACACTCATGGGCCACTCAGCTGCAGCCAGCAATTCCTGAAAGCAGCGCCGAGCTCTTACTGCCCAGCCGTGCACGTCCAGGGCAGAGAGCTGGCACTGGGTATTGCTGGGGAGCCAGCCTGCCAGTGGAGACTGGGCACTCTTGATTGGGGTGGGTTCATGGTGCTCGCAGGCTGCACCACACAGAGCTGCTGAAGTCCATCCTCCAGCACCTCCAGGTTCAGCCAGGATCACCTGGTGTCCCACTGACACCGGTGGCGTTGGCGTGATGCCGCTGCAGGGACCTGGAGCTCTCCCAGCAGCAGACAGAGGGGCTGTGGGTGCTGCACACCCCCCCCAGCAGCAACCCCCATCCCCAGCTGAGCTCCCCACAGCTCAGAAGCGGGTTTCAGGGTCCCTCTGCTCCACCACTTTTAGGCAGTGCTGAGGACACGTCCACAGCTGATGCTCTTCTCCAGAAGTCTTGCTCTGCTCAGGCATTTTCATTTGAAAAGGAAGAAAATCCAAGCCCCAAAAGCCAAACACCTCCAAGAGGTGATGTCCCTCTTGGACAGCCAGCACTGTAGCCTCCAGTGAGTAGGAGCATGGTGATGTTTGAATTGCCTACTGCCCTGCTGTACCCTGGCCTAGAGGGTATGGGCTCTGCAACACCCCTACTGGGACTATTCCAGTGCTTAAAAGCCTAGAGGCACAAGGAGGGTGATCACTGTAGCCAAATGTGGAATTGTGTCCATGAGGAATTAAAAAAACCAACAGCAAAGGCAATCACTGTCCCACACACCATGTGGCATCACAGCCAGAGAGGACCCCAGACAAGGCTCTGGGTCAGTGTGCCTCAGCCAGCCCCCTGCAGAGGACAGTGGCATCTGAGTATTACTGAGGGCAGGAAGTAAAATTAAATAAAAAAAAATTAAAAAAGCAATCTGCAGGTGTAATTGGCCCAACGTGTTGCTTGTTGTGGGTTTAATATGTTCCTGCAACACAAAATGTTCGTTCCAGCTGTGCTCACTGAGGTCGATCTGAGACACAGTCACAGCAGTGTCCTGGTTTGTCAGGAGCTACTTAGGAAGGACTCAAGAACACAGCCAGTCTCTGAGGTTTATCCCTCTCCTAGCTCTTGCTTGCCAGTACTTTCACATTTAAAACTATTCTGGGGAGGATGAATTAGAAACTGATGATGTGCTCATCAACCCAGTATCAAGAAACATAGACTGGCCATAGAAGGGGAAAAAAAGGCTAAAATAGAGCCTTTAATAGCCTAAAATAAATCCTTCATAGAGGCTGAAGAAAAATGTAAAAAATGCTATCATCTCCAAGACTGAAATATTTAGTTACTTTAAATCTTTCTAAAAATGTGTGAAACTGGGTAACTTGCCAAAAAGATCTTCAAACCCTGCAGTTCACAGGAGTGATACCAGAGTTCAGTCCATGTGTCACAAGTGCTGCAATATCCTAAGGACTGCTTCAGGTCCTTTTTAAAATAAGATCTAGCCATAAGGTCCAACCCCCATTTCAGAGAATCCCCATGGAACAGCAATTACAGCTAATAAATGGTCAAAGGCAGGATTTAAGTTCAGGTGCTGCAGCACTGGACTGACACATGAGCTTTTACTAAAGGCACAGGAGGACTCCCAGTTCCTAATGCTCCTTTTTCTTTGCACCGTTCCATTTTGGTTTGTGTGCTCAACAGCAGTGTGAACACTGCAGTTAGTAGAATGCTCCCTATAAAAATAATATGGAATAAACCATGTTTGGACACCTAAGAATGTGTTTATAAGTAAATAAACCTTTGTGTCTCTAACCCAAGAGGGAAGGTGAGGAGTGAACAGGCAGTTACTGAATTCCTCCTGACTCCAGCCAGCTTTCCCTAGCTGAGAAAGGGATGTTTAACTTGCAAAGTTCAGAATTTGGAACATAGAATACTTAGGAAAATTTTTAATGCCAACCCACCCTCTTTATTAAGTCTTCAAGTATTTTTAATAGTGCAAAATATTGTTTTGCATTAGTACAATAACTATGGGAATTCACAGTCAAAAAAAAAAATAATCTTAAAAGATTTCCAAAGTCAAACAAAAAAATTTTTAATACTGTATTTTTAGCAAGAACATTTTTAACAAAGAAGGTGTACTTTAACTTAATATGGTACAACAGAGAAACCATACTTAAAAGTTTCCATTATCTAACACTCTACTGCATATTCATTTTTTCATCTTAAAAGACCAAAAGCCAAGCTGAACTGAGCATAAAAAAAAGCATCAATTATAATCCTCGTAGGACGTCAGCTGTTAGGGTTTAGCTCACACTTTTGAATTGGTCATCTAATGAAAGGACAATTTTTTACATCATTCTTTTAAAAAATGTACACACATTTCTTTTTAAAACGTAATATATATCGAGTATCTGCTTCAGTAAACAAAGCTTAATTTATAAACACAATCGAAACAGCTCCATGTTGAACAGTTTCAGTGATAAACTGGACTTGTATGATGTACAGCCAGTGAGGACCTTTGTGGCTTAAAATCATTGTGCCATTGCTATACAGTAATAGCTACCTCCTTAGGAAAAAAAAAACAAACAAAAAAGAAGTTCCTTTTTTGGGGAGGGGTGGGAAGGGGGGAATAATTCCTGTATGTGCTTAAAAATACTAAAACTCCTTTCTATCTCCGGGGACCTAAAAATGATCTGTTGCAACAGGCTTGGTTTGGTATGGGAAGCTTGTAAAAAGTCTCAATATTTCTTAATACGGCAGTTTTTGATGCAGCAACAGTAAATTGCTTGAAATTGTCCTTCAAGTTTCATGCTACAAATCCTGTTCTTCACACAGTACTGAAGGCATCAAAGGTTGGAAGGGACGTTTTTTCATGAACTATATAGTCTTCAAATAGTGGTCATTATACATTTTTCAACAATAGGTGTTTCCTTCAGTACATAATAGTAGGTTTGATGTATGTTCTGTTTTCTGGAAGAAAAAAAAAATAGAAGAAAAAAAGTCAATCACACAGATTTATAATGAATTGAAACTCAGGTGGGTTTCCTGAGTTCTTTGTAGACCTTTTTTTTCTCCTAGAGCCAAATTATCTGATCTACAAGTGATATAAACTATCCATCATGGAGTACCTTTTGCAGAGGGAAACGAGGCACCAGATGACAGAGTCTTGGAGAGCCCTGGAGAGGGGAATGTGACCAGAGGAATGAGCTCGTCCCGGAGCACCCACCCTCCAGCCCAGGGGGAGAGGTGTGGGCACTCAGCTGGGCTCAAAAGCCACCAGCCTTGCCTCTGACAGCGCCTGCCAGCCAGATCTGCTGGGTAGGAGCTATAAATACTTTGACTGGCATTTGATTTTTCATCAAACACTCATTTTCCTGCTTTTATTTTTCAGAAGGCAGCCTGTGTTGCACTGCATGCCTCTCTCAGGCAGAGGAGTAACACGGCCTCAGCTCTACAACCTGCCATTATGACATGCACAAAACCTTCTAAGAACAGGGTGTTAAAACAAAATTGCGTTGCACTAAAAAAATGTAATAGAAGTAAATCAATATCTGTTCTTGGAAAATTGTTCTTTCATTCAGGAACTGCCGCAGTTCTTTTAAAATTATTTTTCTTTATTTAGGGAAACAAGTAGAAAGCCACTTATTTCCTTCATAAAAATAGTCCTAGACATAGCAGCTATCAACTGTGATTTTTCACATTAAGCAACTGTAAGCTCAGAGAAAAAAATAAGTATTAAAATGCCTACAGAAACTCAAGCTAACAAGAATCCATACTCTTGTTCATTATGCGATGAATCATGAATGCACCCAGCTAAACCCACAAGTATGATCTTGAAGATGATGGCAAAATGATAATATTGAGAAGCATTTTGTATAATGTTGACATCTACCCCGTCCCTGTTTTACATATGCCAATACTGAACACTCCTAAGGAAAGAACAAGTATTGACCTGCTAACTGACACTGATCCTTGGAGCAATCTCAAAGTTTGCCACATTTCAATTTCAAAATGCATTTCAGCTATAATATGAGTGATTTATCATTTAGCAGGAGCTGTCAAAGTAACCTCCTAGATAAAACAAAAACATCTGGAACCATAAACAGAGGAGAGCAGTAGCTGAATTTTAATCCAAATCCGACATGTTCACTTCATTAGGAACAGGAAACAGCTAATTAGTAATTGAATGTTTCATGGTTTTAAGGAGGCTCAGACTCTCCAAACAGAGATGATTTAATATGTATTTTGGATGTAAACAAGAAGAAGGATCAGAAGAGCCGGGGACACAGCATCTCTGGAGGAACATTTGGGAGCAAAGGAGCCTCCAAAGTGACTAAAATTAGTTGCAGGCCTTTGGCTGATGACAATTATTGTCTTAAACTTAGCAGGGCAAGTATTAAAGCCTGGGGAGGTATTATTGATCAGTAAACAGAAAGCACAGAGCTGAATATTCTTTTTTTTAAAAAATAAAGCTCTCAGTTATTCTCCAGAAATGAAAATAGCTCTTTGTTGCTGTGCAATAAACTTAACTCCATGGCATTAACAACGTCACGCAGCAACCACCTATGAGGAATTAAAGTGTTTGGAGCATCTGTGCTGCCACTTACACACCAAAGACAATGTGATGTTGTCAACTTCATCTTCCTGAAGAATATTCACCATCCCCTCAGTGTGGCTGACTGCAACCCACATACCATTTTACTGTATTATATAGCGAAGATTTGAATAAATCTGTGTGCAATAAATGTATCCTTTTATTAGGTTTATCCCTTAATCAAATATTCATTTATGTGGGCTTCATTCTATTAAAAAATGAAATTATACAAAGGTGAGCAAAAGCGTAGATTTACAGTAGTTTAAAGCCTAATCTCATTCTCTAGGGGTAATATTGACAATATAAAAACTGTATAAATGATATTCCCTAACACTAAAATATGCTTATGAGCCCCCTGTGCATGTTATACTGCTTTACAACCCACAGTGAAATGCATGACTGGCTTAATAAGCAAGACATTTAGAAAGGATTTTTTTTCCCCCTTCACAATGTGTAAGACAAGTAAAGATCTCACAATTTCTGTGAGCCAGAGCCTACGTTCATAATTGCAATTTTCCCTCAGGATGGTGTTGTCTTCCCTGAGCTGTTAGCCCAGGGTATACATTCATCTCTTGCACTCTCTTTTAGCAACAGCATCATTGGTTCCTTTTTTTCCAAAGTTTTAATGTCTGTGTGAAGGACAAATCCAAAAGCAATAACTATCATCTGCATATTTATTCACATTTCTCTTTAATTTTTTCTTCAGCCTCTTTAGCACATCTGAATTCTCTGAATCATTTGTGAGGCTTTGTTTGTAGTACCTTTAAGTCAGCAATTCAGCTGTATTTCCAGAGATGTACTTTAAAGCAGAGCTTCCACAGGAACCCTCCCAACCTGCATAAAGAAATGGGCCCCAGTGATGCTGGTGTGCAAATCCCACCCAGGAAGGGGAGTGACGTGATGCAGCCACCACAGCTACAGCTTGGGACTGCCCAGGGAGCGTTGGCAGGAGCTGCAGGAGAAGGTCACTGGAGGAAGGGAGTTTGGGATCCGCTACATAATGAGAAAACCAGGAAAAATCTGTTCCATCAGTAACTGTATTCACACGATTTAAAAAACAAACCCCAGCTCTATGTGTTGCAGAGAATATGGGTAGCAGAGGTGAAAAACTAAACTGACAATCCCATTTTGCAGATTTAGATGAAAGAGTTGGGAGAGCTGCTAAAATAAAGGTGAGGTAGAGGCGAGAGGTGGCTGCTCCTGTGGATGGAGGAGAGGAGGGGGCAGCCAGGAGCCAGACCCAAGTGCTCCCTGAGGCTCTGCACAGCTCCTGCTCCAGGGGCTGGGCCAGAGTCTGATACCAGCCACAGCAGAGCTGGGCAGGAGCTGAACTCCCCACCCTTCTCAGGCTGGGTAAAAGCATTTCAGCTGTATCAGAGCCAAGTGCAGCTCTGGATGCAATAACACATGAAAATACAATGCCCTGACAATAAATCCACGCTGGGGCTCATTGGTTTGAATCAGTCTCTTATTTTGTAGAAAGAAAAACCAGAGAACAGTTTGCTTCTACAGTGGATGACATCCCTCAAATCCCTTCTTTCTCTAACCCTCCCGGCAAACAGGTAAGGACCACAAAACACACAGGAAAGGTTCCCTTCACAACCATGAAAAAAAATTAGACCTAGCCTGCAGCCAGTTCTTATGGTTTTGGGCTTGTCATTCAGCTGAATGACTAGACTGAGCAAAACTGACTTCTCCACCATTTATTAGCTGTCCAGCAAAACTTTTCCCTTCCATTTATCTGCAAATACTCTCCAAGCTGACAAGTGAAGGAGAAAACACCAGACACTGTGAGCAGGGCATGGCTTCCTCTAGGCTCAAGGAAAAACACAGACAATAAATGCTGCTTTTGCAAGCAGTTTGATTTCATTGCTCTCAACCCCTGGCTCCTTCCAATCCCCTCTCCTCCAGGCCTGAAGACGTGCAGTCCCTGAGGAGACCTCTGCTCCTCCACAGTGGGCAGGACTGGGTACAACCCCTCAGCATCACCCCCTCAGAGGTGCTGCTGTGGGGGTTTCTTCCCCATTTACTTTGAGCTTTACACTACTGAGTTCACTCTGTCAAGTATTTCCACATTGGTGTTAACAGCCCTAAAAACTTGTAGAGAAAATTGGATTTCTAGTAAGAAACAAGAGCCAAGGACAAGGGTATGTTCTCTGAATACAAACCATGCAGATGCTGCGTTGCCACTGTCGGTTTGGGCAGGCAGAGATAACGTAGTGGGGCCTGCTTGGAAATACTCAAGCCTACTGACAGTGAATTATTGAATAAATGTTTTAGCCCGTTGTAAGAATATAAAGATACAGACCTTCACACTCAACAGCCTCCCAGGGAAACCTTTACCTACCTTTTGTTTCCAGTAAATGACCAAATCTGAGTTTCCTCCCTCGTATGTGTGTGTATGTGCTTAAAGTGAGAGAGTCAGAAACCCACCGTGTACCAGAAGGAGAAATAACACTGCCACTAACATCAGCCATACTGTTATTTTTAAAGCACACAGACTTGAAGAGAGTTTTCTAGAAACACAGCTAGAGGTGTAATAATTCAGAGCATCCAGAGCAGGACACGTGCTAGAGACAGAGCACGGCCTGGACAGGAGGAAAAAGAAAAGGCCCAAGACTAAAACAAAGACAGGGAAGAACTCACTCACAAGGCAAATACCAGGACTCTGTTTAATCTGAAGAGTTTCTAATCAAAGGGTTCTGGTCTTTTCTCCTGTAAAACTCTTAAGTGTTTGAGCATTTTTTTCAGTGACAGCAAGACCAAGACAACAGCACTGTAACTTCCAAGATGTTGAATGTGTCTCTTACAACTGCAGAGTACTCAGAAATTCCATAATGTTCCTGGTTTCAGTGGATTGCAGGATTTGCAGGTGCAAGTTGATATAGCAGCAAAGTTGTTCAAACTCTTGAAAGCACAACCCCTCTGTTGCCTGTCCCTCTTGCACCCTTTTTACCATAGACTGGACCTGAAAACTGACCAGTTGTATCAGAATATTGAAAAAACACAGCCTTCTTTTCTAAACAATAAACCCCAAACTATGTTTCCAACTTCACCAGTCCTTCCTCTCTGGCAAACAGATAAAAATGAAAAGTTATTCATGGTTACTGGAAGGTTTTGTGCTAAACCTCTGCCAGGTTATTTCACAAACAAAAGCAGCAGCAGCAGCAGCAGCCCTGGGTCACTCTCCTGTTGCAGTGAACCACGTTTCCTTCAAATCTTGTTTTCACCTCAGGACGGTCCATCTGCCCATGAAATTTAGAGTCTTTTTACTTTTTGTAAATTGTTATCATCGAGTATTACAGTAACATCTATTTTTTAAAATTTTAAGATAACATTGCTTTGCTGATTGTTCCAATATCCCCTAACAATGAAATATAGTAATACAAAAGTTAACTAAGGTATAAACATGCAAAAGGAGAAGTCTCCCTGCGATCATAAAATGATGTTATTTTCTGTTCAGCAGTTCATGTTACTGCTGTTCATGCTAATTAATTAAAGGAGCTGTTGCTGTAATGTGCAAACAGGGAATCTGAGAAACTGAGAGGGCTTTTAGGTCTCGGAGTGAAGTTAAGTCAATCTGGGCGCGGGCAATCAAATGTAATGAAATCACTTGTCAGTGCTAAGCTTGCAAAAACTGTGAAGTTTGACTAGGGAGTAAAAGGATTATAATTAGATTTCCAATAGGATAATAACTAAATGGCAGAAAGCAGTAAAGAGAAAATATTACTTTGTTAGCTAATGGTGCTGCTGTTCGGTTTTAGTTTTTATCAGCACACTTGTAGTTGTGCTAATTTAATTTGCTTTTATCAGCAAAAATGCACTACTCGAATGGTACTTGAATGTCATTTGCAAAAATCATCGATCTGAAGGTGCACTTAATGACACCCAGTATGTTTGTTTTATGTGAAACGGAGATTGGTTGATAAAATGGTTGATGCACTATCTTGCTGGCCCACAAGTGAGTTATGGAGGCAAGACCAGGAGGGCATCTGTGAGCATGTATCACCCTCTCCTGCACCACTCAGCTGGGCTGGGACTTCATGACTGAGTACAGCAACTATTAGTTTGCTACTCTGGCAGCTAAAAAGCTTCTCTCAGATCAAGCTGTGCTGGGCTAGAAGGTCAGGTATACAGAGGATGAAGACATTCGGCTGTAACGTTCAAGAAAGTTTTAAGTCTTGCCTGCACAAAATTTCTGTTCAATTAATACACAAAGCATAAAGAAATGAGTCAAGTAAACAGAAAAGATTTATAACGCAGATCAGAATCCCAGTATATGAACAGCTTGTGTTAATAAAATCACTTTAAGAAACGAGCATAAAATATGATATGACTTAATCACTGTGAAAGGTGGCTGCACAGAATTCTTGTAATTTTCCTTTAAAGTGTCTTAAGGAGCTACTGGCAGTGAAACTAAATGAATTTCCAGGGAGAGGCACTGCATGAATGATAGATTTCTGTCCAGCAGAGCTATTGACAACAGAAAAAGGAAGGTCTGCATTGATGCTAAAGCTTTTTTCTGTGCAATAGAGAGAGATTTTGGAAGTTTGGAAACAGCTTTGTCTTAGGGATATGTGTTTTGACCTTTCCTGCTCGCAGGGCACACAAAAGGCAGCAAATGAAGGGGGCAATAAGGGAGTGTGCTCCAGTTGTTAAAGACAGCAGTGCCACAGTAGCTGTCAAGTACAGCAGTTGTAATCATAGGAAAAGAGAACAAAAAATACTACAGTTTCAGCATAAATAAAAATTAAAGAGATGGTGCTGCAGGACAGAACAAAAACTTCCAGATGCTCCTTTGCTAAGGCTTTTTACCTGAACAAAAACTTCCATGTTTCAAAGATTGTTAAAACTAAAGAATGATGTAGTTGGGATCAGATTAAAAAAAATCCCAACCAAACAACAAAACAACAAGTCACAAAAACCCATCCTGAAATAAATATCATAAAATCACAAGGTGGTCTTGTATATAAAAAGACTACAGGAAGTGTAAGAACGTTCATTTAATTCCTTCTAGTCAGTAACTGGTTGTTGGAAGAGGCTATGCATCACTTTTCCCACAGTTAGTTATAACATTTTTTGATAGACAGACACATTTGAGCCAACTGTAACTTTCTTCCTTGAATTGAAAATTGGAATGAATTTCCTTTTTTGAGTGGATTCTGTCCAGATGCATCTTTGACGCTCAGAATCATTTTGGAAGAGCACTGAGCACTCAGCTGGTATCAGAAATAGATCAGAAATATTAGGAATGTTTTATTTGTCAAATTTAGATACACGTTTCCCAAGTGCTTATCCAATATTTTTTACTTTTTCTGACAGTAATGATCTTCCAATTGCACCCTTTTAGAGCACAACTAAATGTGCACATATACACACACACATATGTTATATATGTATATATATGCATTACAATAAAGCTGTGATTGTCCTTCATAATCCATAGCATATGAACCTAAACTCACAAAAAGAGACAGCAGTAAAAATATTTGAAAGCTTTCCTGTACAGATGTCAGCTGGAGGACAGATGCATACTAGAGGGATGCAAAGTCAAGCCTTTAACAGTGGAGAAATGCACAAAGTGATGTTTGTATCTATAACTGCACTGCAGCCCCTCTTCTGGCTGCACAGAAGTCTTTAGTCACTTCACCACACATGAATTTTTACATATTACCATGACCTGATTCAGTAGAAAGACTGGAAGGGCTCTAAGCTCCTTCTCTCTCCAGGCTGCTGTAGTAGCCAGGGTGGTGTCTAATGAATGTGGCACAGGACAGAAGGGACAAGAAGTTTGGGTTTATAGAACACCAACACTGCAAACCTTGGACTTTCTCCAAAGTCAGAGAATTTCTATGTTCAAATTGCTCAGGCCAAATTTTACCACAGGTGACTACAGGTTTTCTGTGTCTCTAACAGACCTCCAGTGGTAATGGAAATAACCTTTAAGATCTCTGTTATCTCAGCTCCCCTAAATGATGATCCCACAACTCCCTTCCTGCCCAGGCCTACGGCCAGGATGCATTTATTGTTTTTGGGAAGCACTCAGACAACACATGAATGCTCTGTATTCACAGTCACTGAAAAGTGAGGGAAGTGGAGCACCACAGAATCACTCAGAAGATGACCATGACTTTCCCCTTCCACTTACATTTTATGTATTGTTTTTGAAAACACCTATGATCTTGATAGACAGGTGAGGATCAGAGGTGAAATATTAAAAAAAGAGCAAGCATCTGTAAAATCACTTGTGAACTAAGCATATTTATGAAAGCTAAATATGAGTTTCCCACACCTCTATTTAAACAAATATAATTTCTGGTCTTGTAAAGTACTGATCTTTCAAAGGTTTTCTGTACTGAACAGGAAAATAAAAGAATGTTCTGCAATTTACATTTATCTCAAAGCAGGAAAACAGAGACAAAAAATGATTCTGCATTTCATGTAATCTTTAATATGGCTCAGGAAACAGGTAGGTGATGGGATGTGGTACGTACTGCACCTTGCATTGCTGCACTGTCATGTTGGGTCCCGTTGTGTTCTATTTCCATATCTGGGATTCCAGCATCTGAAAGACATGACACACTGAAGATTAATGTGTTCCCCTTTGTCCTTCTCTCATGCATCTTTAGAAAAATATTTATAGCAAACTAGGGTGATCTCCAAGTTACAAGGTCTTGCATTAAACATTTGGTCTTCATAGAATTTTTAGTAGTAAATTGTTTCCAAAATGTGCAAACATTATTGGTCTCACAGTGAATTATTTTTAACGTGCTTCAAATTTGTCTGACTACCAGATAATAATCAACACATGATATTAATATGTCTGTAAAATTATTTTGGAGAATGAGGGCATCTGACATATGAAAAATACAAGTCAAAATTAAACTGTGATAATATTAAATTACATTGACTCTACTACCCCTGTACCTGTAAAGTCACAAACAGAACCCAGCCAGTGCCAGCCCACACGTGTGTGTGTCAGTTTGTAGGAGTGCATGCTGTAGATGAGGACAGTGCCAGCTCAGCTCAGCTCAGGGTGTTGTGAGCATGTGTTACCACCCAAACCGAAATTACAGATGTGATATTCTGTGAAGCACTGCCAGATTTCTGAGAAGAGCTTTCCAAAATGGACTGTGCTCTTTTTCCCAAGTTGAGAAAGAGTCTGACAGTGATAAGCACTTTTGAATTATTTCATTTCATATTGATAATGATGCTCTGTGCCCAGTCCTCCAGGGTGGGGGCGGGGGCTCCAACACCCCGGGGTGTTACGGTAGCAGATGCCATTATCCACCTTGTGCCAACAAGGATTAGCATGAAGGGTATGTGATTGGAATCCATGGTACCTCCAATCCTGGAGAAACATCTGCTTCCCTTATAATACAGCACTTAGAAATTACAGCAAGAAAAAAACCCCACACCTGAGAGGGAGTTGGGGATACAGTCTGGAAGTTCTTCTGTGTAGAAGCATGCTGTGGACTTTCCCAGACAGCAAACAACTCTTGCTTTCCCAGGTCACTTGAGTTGGAGTGTCACTAAGGTGACGTTGCTGGTCACCCTACAGCCTAACCAACTCCATGTCAAAGCAGGGCAACCCACTAAAGTGAGGTCCAGCTGCTGAAGAACAATATCTTCATAATATACGTGGAAATTAAATATATGCATATACAGCCCTATAAATATATATGACCTAATAAATAATATTTGCAAGTATACAGTTGTTTCTTATAAAATGACTAGTGAATGCTGTGAGAAAGGGTTTCCCTTATTCAGATTCCTGTTCAGAAGGAAAGTTCAAGGCACTCATCTACTAATCTAAAAAGGTTCTTTCTTCTCAAACCTTTTAAAGTACGTGGTGTATATACGTAAAATGACAAAGTCATCTGTAACTAATAACAGCATCTGTTAAATGAGACAGACTGTCAGAGTTAAATTAAAAATATTCAGAATAGCCCTTCACATTTTGTTGTCATAAAATTGTACCTGCAATTAAATTGTGGATTAAGATGCTAATGAGCTACCTGATTTGCATGTGCAATCAGATTAGCATGTAAATATCAGCTTCTTGCAGGCACTAACATATATATGACTACCTGAGTGTGCCTGCAAATCAAAACGTTAGCAGCCAGGCCCCCAATAGCAGATGTAAAGCTCTGTTAATCACATTGCTGGCATGTGGGTACCCTTTAATTTGTGGCTTCCAGAACTGCTGAGTTCTCATAACTGTCGTGCGAGCAGCAGGTGCTTCCCTCCAACGGCAGGATCTGGGGGAAGCACCTCACTGAACACCAGGATTTTTGGGTTTTCTGACATTCATCTCAAGGTGCTGTCTGCGGGATCTGTGGAGGTGGTGGAAGAGGTTTCTGCTGGCTCTGTCCACCCCCTCTCCTTGGGTCACTGCCCCTCGTCCCGTGGAACTGCAGCTGTACACCCACGGCTGAGTGGCCGCCTCCCACTGTCCCTGTCAGCACAGAGGCAGGGCCAGCCAGCTCCTGGTTACTGTGATATGCTGGGCTATAAAACCCAGCAGATGAGAGTGCCTCTGAAAGATGCTGCTCTCCTCCTTACAGAGCTTATGTCTCTTAGGTGCTCTAGATAAATCACAGCTCACAGTCCATTGCAGAGTCAGGTAAAGAGCCCTGCACGAACTTTAAAACCAGTCTGGGGAGCTCTCACAACTGGGAACTCAACAGAAGCCAAAGTCATTATTTTTACTCGCCAGTTCAAGCAGTTTTTGCACTCTGCTTATGTCTTTATGGCTCAGCTGCTAGCAGTGCCCAAAGAAAGCAGCATGAAGTTCACCTCATGACTACAGGACATAGAAATGCAGCAGAAACTGAACAAAACTGATCCTTGAGCCTCTGGAGTGACTGTGGGGTAGGGACATGCAGACCAAACCTTAGCTACAGAACTTGAAATTAATTACAACTCAAGTACCTTCAATCTTAAAGATTCAAATCAAAGCCCTAAACTTTGGCCAGAACCATATTAAGTAGGAGAGGCAAATCCTCCCACTATCCAAAATATAATCACCCTGTTCAGGAGATGAACTGATTTGCTTTTGTTTCACAAGAATATTTGGGAAGTATTCAAAACCTAGTCAGCTCTGAAAGCTGATACATATTTAACAAACTTAATAGGTCCTGAGGCTGAGCAAACTTCAGCCAAACGGCTTTTAAAATGAAGCTCAGCAGTTCTAAAAATGAATCTGCTGGGAGAGAACAGTTCAGAGAACCTTACAGGAACCAAATTTCACATTGTCTTAGCTGGCACTGTAACAGATTTCTCTGGTAATATATTCAGCATTTCTTGTCATGTCTGTGTAAACTGCTCTGTCTGTTTCTCTAGTTGCAGACTTATTTTTTTTTAATTCATGACCCAGAGCACATGGCCTGAAATAGATTTTTAATTATTTCAGGAAAGGATTGTATTTTATTAATTCTGGAATTTGCTTTGTGCATCATCTCGCATTTTTTTCACTCAGTTAAACACCATTTCAAGCTGACTGTGAAAGGCCAACTAAGACATTACCATTTAACATCCTGAGACCGTCACCTGATGTGGCCTGTTTAAGCGCCTGTTCCACTTGTTCTCTTCTCTTCGACTCAAATTCCAAAGCTTCCTGCAATTTTCTCTTTGCCTTTTTCTCTTTCTTCAAGCGTTTCTGAATTGTTGCTGGAACGTAAAGATAAAGTAAGAATGGCTGTTAAAGCACAATTAATATGTAATGGAGACATCTTCAGTGTTCAAGTTTTATCTAGAGAAACAAAACATCTGGCATGAATGTTATATAAAAAACCCCAAACTCCTCCAAGCCATGTTCTGTAGTGAAACAATAAACTACCTGAAAGGTCTTTAGACCTTGTTAAAAGTCTTAAATCTTCCTCTCACTGCAACAGCCCCATGGATCTCAGTCTCCTGACCAGAACCTAAGAGTCTGAGAGCCAGCCCAGTGCGTCACGTCACACAGACTTCACCAATTTGGACTAAATTCCAGTTCTGCAGAGTTTGGTTGAGCAGATTATTGGCTTAAATTGATTTTTAGCAACAGCAGCAATGTACATCCTCAAATTTAGATAAATCTCTTGCCCTTCATTCTATCCTTTTCCTTTAATGCTGAGAAGTATGTTGCACCCTCATCCTCCAGTAGTTTTATCTAGAAAGATAATCATCTAAACACACTGGTTATGTCTTCCCTGACCACTCCTCATGGATGGATGAAGTCTTCTGAATGTGTCAGAGATTCAGTATTCATTACGTTTTCTAATATTAAAAGGAAATGAAATTTCTTTCTGCAGGTGATGTCTGTGTGCAGTGTGAGAATCTGAAACGTCAGCACCAACGGTGTACAAAGTGAAAAACCATGGAATTAGGGGCTAATTTTTTTGGTAAAAATGAAGCAGCAGTTGAGTTAATTTTGAAAAGGAATAACTAAAATACCAAGAAGCACTGCCCAAGACAGAAGCCAGGTGTAAGGCTATTGAGAAGCTGGGAGAAGTGGATATACACTCAGATGAAAGACCAAATGTGTAGAGAAGGTGTATGCCCTGAGTAACATGACTACTTCTGCACTTAATGCTAGTGGGAGAAAAAAATTCAGTGGGAAAGCCAAAGAAAGGAGAGAAACTAAAAAGCAGCAGGTGTCTGTTGAGAATCTCAGAGAGAAATGAAAAGAGAACTTCAGAGGTTGAAAACAAATTGTAACGCTGCTAAGTAAAACAAGTCTACTCATTATCAACTTCAGTTAGAAAACTGAAGCACTCCATAAAACATTGTACAGTAGATGGCTCTTTGGACTAAAAACAGGACTTAAAATAGGTGAGAATGTTGTATTACAGAGCTCCTGTCCAGCTCTGCATTCACCTCACTGCACCTCACAGTCAGCTCATCCTCTCTCTTTTACAGGTCTTAACAAAGATCATCCACAGGTCACTGGTACAGCCATGTAAGAGTTGGCAGAAAACAGAAACACTCCTGACTCATCTCAGTCTTAAACCCAACCATAAGTAAGGTTAAAATTATAACTAGAGAATTGCACAGTATTAACTGTAGCCAGATGATCAATATCTTCATTGGGAACTGCTGACATTGGCTGTGATTGTATTCCATCACCTTATAAATTCAAGCAATAAAATGTAACTTTTAAGTCTTTTCCTTTTCAAACTTATCTTATGTGATCTTAATCACATATTTGACCTCATTTTTCCAACAGCACCAGGTTACCATCACCTGGGCCACAACTATGTAAAAAATATCTAGCTCTGCCAACAACCTTCCCTGTGCTCCTGCTGGCTAACAGACTGCCCTTATTATCCTTATTAAACTAGCTTTAATGGGCCCTTACACTTGTTTCGTCACCAGTGCTGCAAGAACACTTTATTCTGTCTCTTCTTTGTAAGACCTGCACCTCTCCTCTGGTTTAAACTCCCTTCTAGGATCTCTACAGGCCCATCACCCACATTTCTGCCAAGTCTATCCTGCAGCCAGAAAATACTCTCCTCTTGGGTGCAACTCTTGTTCCAGGAAATCTATCAGCTGGAAAAATTCTGGGAAAATCCACAGTAGTTACATAATTCCTTGTGACCACTTCTTACTGACTTTTACAGATCCTTCTGGATTTCTGAATGCTCCAGTTGGGGGAAAACCAACCATGGATACCATTGAAAGGAAATCTCTGAGAGATGTAATAAATTATGAATGTCAAAATGTGAGCTGTAGAATACAACTTTGGAAAACTGAGCAACCCATGTGAAAAAGCCTGTCTGTGACTTCTTATAATAATGAAGACGTGCATGTGGCAATAAATGGAAAGATAAACACTTCTGAGAATATTGATTATTGATGAAATTTTATTTTTGAGCCAGAAGCCAAAGAAGTCTGTGAATGGCTTAAGGGTTTGGTTGACTTCCAGGTGACTCAGGTGGTGCACAGTGTGCTGCCTGCCTGCAGGGAGGTCAAGTTTTGTTGTACAGAAATACAGCAGTCTCATCCATGCCCAGACCCAGGTGATGCACCATTCTGAACACCCACTGCAATTTAACAACTTCCACAGTATTTACTGACCCTTCACAACCTGACTGAGATGCTCTTTGTTGCTCCCACCCAGACATGATGCTGCAGACAGCTCTGTTCTACACACATAATTTCAATTCAAAATGCACAGGATGGTACTACTTGACACCTACATTTTTGGTCTTATCTAGTTTTATCTTTCTGATTCCATGGATGTAATCTACAAGTAGCTTTTGGCACATAAAGTACTATGTCTCCTTCAGATGCAGATCTGAATATTAGAAAGAATACTACCTTCTTTGCAGTATCACAGTGAAAAAATCATATTTACCAATTTAATTGCCTATTATTATCAAAAGCTTCTAACCAGTCATGGTTTTGTCTTAGAAGGCCCCATATGGGAAGTGCTACTGCATCTCACTCTCTGGATGGAAAAAATATTATCTAGGGTTATTTGCTTTAGATCTTGCACTCAGGTAGACAATTCCTTGTAGCTCTATTTTGTTGCGGTGAGGTTATCTACAAGAAAAACTAGCACCTAAAGTACAGAAATATGGGCTAGATAAGTAGTAAGGTAATGAAAAAAATCACCTAAATACCCAAATTATGGACATGTTATCTTTCTCACAGTAAGACTGATTCTCAGTGCTTGGAGGATAATAGCAGAAAACAAAAGAAATTAAAGCTGTCAAATGAAGAAATCGGGCTGGGAATACACAGGCAGCGTGGCAATAATACATGTGAAAGCCATGAAACTGAATCAGCTCTCCTCCACAGAAACTGCCAAAACTCTCTGAGGCCAGTTGCCCTCCAGGAAATAATCCTTCAGTCACTGTTCCTTCTGCTTACAGAACAGTGTGCTTCATTCTGTTTTTATTAAATTTAAATCTTTCATTACCAGTGCTAGTCCACTGCTGCATTACACTGAAGTATGAATGTCAGTTAACTCCAGGTCCTCAGCAGCTCGGGCTGGAAATGCCAACGGGTTATACATTTAATAGATATCTAAACTCCATTTTTCATTCACTCACCTCTGCTTTGCAGCTCAGCTGTGAGTTGCCTTTCCAAGCTCTCTCTTAGTTCTCTCTCTCTACACAGCTCCATCTTTAACTCCTTCTTTTCCTGCTGTATCTGTTTCTCCTGGACTCTCGCATTGTCCACAGCCACTTTCAGTAGGCCCTAAAACACAAAAATACAAGATCTGAAAACACCATTCTGTTTCAGCAGTGACAAAATTCATCCATTTGTTTCTTTTACACCCTCTATGAAAACAGAAAAATGGACCTGGAATGCAACTGGGCATCTGAAGTAGCCAGATGTTCTACCTGAGCCATTTTGTGGCATTCAGATAGCGTTTGCTAACTCACCCTACTGATGTGCTTTATTACAAATGGAGTGTGATATCTTGCTGACCTTGGTCAGCTGCAGGGAGAAGCAAAGGAGGAATAATGAGACTGGTGAATTTTAATACGACCATTATTGCCAACTATTAAGTCAAATAGACAATGTATGAAACCCCTTCACGATCGATAATGCCAGACAGTGGAAACCTGAGCATTACATTAAATAAAAGAAATTAGAATTGCAGATATGAAATAGTTTCAGAAACTTTTTTAAAGAGCCTGAAAAAGAAACCCAGTTTATCTACCATGACACAGCCTGGCCCTATGGAGAATAATTTACCTGAATGTTGGTTAATAGTGTTTCTACTGATGAAAGACCATCAGCAAAAAGAAAAGGCGCCGGAAATCCAGGAGGCAAGGCCTGTCCAGCCAGTTGGACTTTATCTAAGGTTGGTTTCATTATTGGAATGGCAATTTGGACCTCTTCTGTAAAGACAGGTTTAAAAGCAACATCAGAAAGGATTGGAAATATAGGTAAACGTAATTTCTAGCAACTAGTGTTCTGTTTACCTGGAAGTCAAGACACAAGCACATTAGTAAAACTGACGTTGTTTCAGGCTTTGTGGCTAAGGTAAGTTTGTAAAACAGTACAGAACAATAATAAATATACTGGAGACAATAACACAGCTGTAATAGAGTATAGACTATTATATCAAATTCTACAGAATTATACTACAGAATTATAACAGTATTACACAGTTCATTAAACCTGAATGACCTTTCTTCATTCTATCATGTTTGCTACTCTGTGATGTGCATTTTTTGTTGCTATAACCTTGACAAAATTCTAATCAAGAAACGTATCACATCTCTTTACTCCTTTAACGTTCCCCTTCCCATACTCAGCAGTAAATAATCTCCACTGACTCATCCCCTCCTGCTTAGCTAGCACCAGCTCCACGTTGGCCGTGAAGTGTCAGCCCAGGTTTCCTTAACAAGCACCTTGCTACTGTCAGCCTTTCTAGTCCTGGCGGTAGCCAAAAAATGCTTTGCTGAGTTATCTCTGCTCAGCAGAGGAGTACAGAGCGACCTGGGTGGCAGGGGCCAGAGGGATGGCCGGGCAGGAGATGTGCTCCAGCTCCAGCCCCTCTCCTGCCACTTACTGCCCAGGATGAGATTGATGCATCTCCTACAGACTGCAGCACTGGGACCCGGTCGCTTCCCCTGCGCTCGTTGTTTCCAGCAGATTATGTTGTTACAGATCAAGCTGGGCACAGGCAGCAGAAACGTGTATCCAGAAAGAAACATGAGCCGTTATTTTTCAAAAATCCTTTAAACTTTGTGATGAATCAGTACTATCACCTATTTCTGAATAGGATAATTTAAACACATTTAAGGATTGAAATGTATCTCCTCCTCTCAGATCCCTGTGAGTACTTCTTCCCCATGTATTCATTTTAAAGAAGTTAACTCTTGAAAACCCACAACATTAAAATATAGCAGTCCTTAAAGGCAAACCCTGCACATTTCTTCTACTCTGAAATGTTAAAAAAAATACTTCTCTAATATTTCAGGGAAGTCTAGTCTATATATAATATGTTCATAACTGGCAGAAATCATGAAGAATATGTTCTCAGCAAGTGTTTTTCAGCAAAGCTTGCAACTAGTCTCTTGAGCACAGGTTCATGATGCGTGTGCTGTCTAAGGGCAACGGCACAGCCAGTCCTCATGGTTCCATTTGTCAAGTGTCTTGGTCTTATTAAAGCCAGGATTTACAATTAGACCATACCATATTCAGAAGGGCTTCTTCTCCCACCCCTCTTACTTAAAGAAAAAACAACCCAAACACCCCAGAAGGAATCTGATAACAGCAAACTAAGCCATGGTGTCCCTACAGCAGTGCCATTACCTGGTTAACACGCTCCAGGAGCACCTCCTGAGCAGCAAACATTTTTGCTGTGCTTCAAAAACACACCTACTGATGATGAACCAGAAGTATTAGCTGTTTTCAAGTATTCTTTGAAATCTCTGTTTAGGGAGTATTTTGTTTTCACTGTGTGAGTTCATTAAATGGAACATCTTCATAATGATTCCTCAGGACTAATAACAACAAAACCCAGTAACCTCTACTCATCTTTGTAGCTATCATTTTAGAGCTATGTTCACAAAATTTAAATGATTCATTTGTTTAAAAAAAAACCCAACTCTGGTAATATACTCAGAGCACAGAGTTCCTGCCGACTCAGATATGCCATTTCTCATATTTAGAAACCTTTTTTAGAATAAATTGATTAGTTGTTGTGTGTGATGCTACACAGAAATAACATCTAAGCCATGGAGTCACAAAAGACTAAGCAGAAGTGGCATCTGAAAAAGAAATGCATGAAGTATGCATAACAAAACTAGAGCTGCTTTAAAATCTCTAGAAATCTCTACTATTTGGAGATGAAAGTAATAACATTAAATTGGCCGAAAGGAAAATGACTATTGACTGTGAAGACAGGTTGCATGGTCTATGGTTTGTAATGTTACTGTACGGCAGATTGAAGTTTCAAAATAGTATTACTCTTCTTTAAAGAGATAGACACAGCTAAATTAGGTGCTGCTTGCTGCAGTGAGGATCAAATGCAAAAAGAATCATATTTCATCAGACCTAGTCAACACCAGGAAAATAAATAGAAATATAAGAGGTATGCAGGCAATGATTCATTTTGATAATCTGGCCCAAGAGAGACACATAGAGACAGCACACAGATCTAAGCTTCTACCAAAAGACAAATAGGACACAGAGGGTGGGAATTGGGATGACAGTGTAGCAGAGGTCACATCGATTTTCAGCAGCAGTTTTCACACAGATGAGATAACCCTGGACTCTATTTGGCCCATTGTTCATATCCTACCTGTCCCAGAAGCAATAAATTTCCAAGTCCCAGAAAAAGGGCAGTAAAGAAGAAGGATTCTACTTATGACTTCTTATGATTAAGTTTTTGTGCTAACCAAACATGCTTTGCAGACCAAGGTCACATTGCATGTTAAAGTCTGTAATAGCTGAAAACTAGAAGCAGCATATTATGTGTTAGCCTATATGGGAGGAAACTGTCAAACCATTCATCATTTTTTTTTTCTGATTGAAATCACACTCTGCAAAGATGAATGATAAATGCATTAGAAATCTATTTCAATCTTGTAATAGGTCTTCACATCTGAATGGTGTCTACATCTTGCCCGTATTCTGAATAAGTGCACAGTTAGGCAGAAATTTATTAGCTAGACCTGAGGAATTGTAATTGGTAAAGCAATTAAAAATGGCATGTGTTGGGAGCATTTTTTGCAGATTGTACAAATGCATCTTTTTAACAGAAAAAAAAAGATGTTGATTTAAGCATTTTGTTGAAAGAACACTAAAAATATAAATGCTAAAAGCTGCGCTCACACATACGGTACAACAGAATAAGCAAGAAATAAAGCTAGGACAACTCCAATCTAACCAAGGACACAAACAGCCTCTCCATTTATTGAAGCAAAGTGGGAACTACTTTTATCGAGCTTGTTTGTGAAACCTGCCACGCTTCACAATAGCATTCAGGAATCCATTTAGAGTGCAGTCCTTTTATTTTAATTTCGAGCTGGCATCCAGATGAATAGACGAAAGCAAGAATTATGTTGTAGAAAAAAAGAAACACGCAGCAAACACCAACAGTGAATGGAATATTATCCCTGGAAATCTGCTAGAAAGTTTCTTGTTCTTCATTCAATATGCTGAAGTATTTCATCGTCTGTCTCCTGCCTAAGTTGCAGAAATGGGGATAGGAAAATGAAGCACCAGCCGACGGACTAAACGCAGCGCTGGGCACGCGAGGAAGGCGAATTGCTCCCCGTGCGACAGTGCATGTCCCAAACCAACAGGCAATTTTATTTGCCAGCTGGTTTATATTCTTTCAGAAGGCATGTTTTTAAATCCATCACTCATGTACCTGACACACTTGGCATGTCACATCCCTCTCAAAACAAGGTAGAAATATTAAAGCTACAATTTACATCTTGACTAATTCTAGTTAGACCATCAAGTTATTTTTTCCACATACACTCCAAAACTTTATCTGGAGCTGTATAAGCATTACTCACCTCCAGGAGCTAACAGAATATAGCTCATGCATGAAATAAAGCTGTGGCATATGGAGAAAAGAGTAACAATTTATACTAAATTTATAGTTATTAATCTGTTAGTTACAAACCAAGACATTTTATCTCAGAAAGCCGTCAGCCAGCATTAATAAGATGGTTTTGGACATCGGTGGCAGCTGGGTCACTCCTTTTCCCAGCCTGTGACATACAATTTAGAAACCTAAGGACTAAAATGTTTTATTGTAATTATAATTCTTTGAGCTCCAGATTGGAGTGATAGGGATTACAGTTAATGGTGCATAGTTACAAAAGAACAGCCTAAATATTCTCATGGACCTTTTTGACTTTTAACAAAATAAAAACAGAGGATCTGCAATATCAGCGGGGTTGTACCTGCTACTCATCTCTAAAAATAAGATACACTTTTACTCAAAATAGCATTATTTTCCCAAATCTTACCGAATCATGCAACCTGATCTATCTTTATAGTGTCAAGAGGAGCCTTGACTTCCAGTTGTACATCTGCTTCACAACAGTGGCAGGCAGTGGTGTCCAAACATGGCCAGAATTAAGCCTCAAATTCTATTTTTTGATTACAAAAAGCAGGTTTTTTTTGTTGTTGTTGTTTTGTTTTTTTGTTTGTTTGTTTTTTTTTTTTTTATAAAAAGAGACTTCATATTGTAATCTTAACACATGGTAACTTCTGTCATGCTCAACTAGAACCTAGTAGAAGTTGATTTTTTTTTTTACAGTAAGTATGAAACCCTTGTAACCAGCAGCATTGTTTAATTCAAATATTTTATAAGTCTGCAAGGATGGGGTTATCTGTCTTCAGTGCCTTAATAACTCTGAAAATCCTCCATAAACCTCTGCCTGCCTTTTTATCCCTCACTCATTGCTTCCCTGCCAGGAGCTGAGCACTCCTGTTCATCAGTGAAAAAAGAGACACCTCCTCCCAGCCTGGCACCAATCAGACTTAGAAATTTACTGCTTTAACCTTGTGATTCAGGTGCCGAATTTAAAGTCACTGCTGTTTTTCTTAATTACAGTCCCTGAATGAACAGGGTCAATGAATGCAATTGGGGAGTAGCTGATTAATCCAGTGCACTAGCTTTAAATCAGATTTTATTTCGTTTTCAAATGATTGATACAACTTGATAGCGCACAAGCATTTTTCACCACTGAGCTTTCCCATAAAGAAACTCATTTTAAAAATAGTATCTGATTATTATATACACACTTCCAGGATGGCCTTAGCAGCTGTTGGAAACTATCACAAAGCAGTAACATCAACTATGCTCTGCTTCCTGGTGTCTGTGTCCCAGCTGCTTCTCACCCAGGCACTCTGAAATCAGTTGGCT